GTTTGGAAGCTCTATTCTTCCCCCTTACTCTCGGCAGGGAAACGAAAAGGTGAGAGAAGGAGAAAGATCACTACACCACAACCGAGCCCAACATTTCTGTTGCAAAGTAGGACAGTTGTTAAGTGAGTTTGGTCCCATTTTGATCACATGGCTGTGACGATGCTGCAACGGTTGTGAAAAACAGTCATACGTCACTGTTTACAGTGTCGTTATTTTGAACAATCCCTAAATGAATGGTTGTAAGACAACCGTTGTCGCCACAGGGAGTCCTCGACTTACAACAGTTCATTTAGTGACCATTTGAAGTTACAGGTAGTCCTCAACTTATAACAATTCATCCTTACAACCGATGTAGCATCCCCCACGGTCATGTGATCAGAATTCAGAGGCTTGGCCACCGGCATGTATTTATGTCGGTTGCAGTGTCCCGGAGTCACGTGATCCTCCTTTTGTGACCGTCTGACAAGCAAAGTCAACGGGGAAGCCAGAGTATCTTGACAATTGTGTTACTAACTTAACCACCACAGTGATTCATTTAACAAGTGTGGCAAGAAATGTCGTAAAATGGGGCAAAATTCACTCCACAACTGTCTCGCTTAGCAAGAGAAATTTTGGACTCCCTCGCAGTTGTAAGTCTTAGGACTGCCTGTATTTAAAAAAAAAAAAAGAATTAGATGATCTACTCCTCTAGGGTGGTGCAGAAGGGATCCTAAGACTCTGGATCTACCCCGTGTCTTGAAAGATCGGTCTTGTTGGTTTGGGGGAGCCAGGAGCAGCCTCGGTGACGTGAACGGGAGCATATTGGAGGAGCAATGACTGCCTTATCAGCTACTGCTCGGATCTGTTTGTCAAGCCTGCAAATGGGTTAGATAGCTGCCAGAGAGGCAGGAGGGCTGCCAGAGGCAATGTTTGGAGAAGACAAAGTACTCCCATACGGGGCTGGGTTTTGCACGTCATTTGTGCAAAGGGCACCGGCGAAAGACACACCCCGAGAGTGGGGGGACCAGACCTTCTGTCCCTTTGTGCAAAGCAGTGGATTTGACAAGCGGGCTACTTTTGCCAATCCTACGGAGAATCAACCTTCTATCTAGAGGAGGCAGTTGGGGCTGCCCACATCAAAACCTTTAGCATTTCCAAAAGTTGGAAATAAAGCATTGAGAAGGAAGAAAAGGACAGCCTCAGGGGCACAGGAGTTAGCCTAGAAGAGCTGGATTCCGGTCCAGTGTCTCCCACAATCCCTTGCTGTTGCTCTTGCTTGGCAAGCGTTCATGAATGTTGATATCCAAAAGGTTTAGGGTTTCTGTTCCTGTCCTTCTGCCATCTTCTCCTTTTGTCTTCCATCTTTGCCAACATTAACCAGTGGAACAACCTGCCTCCAGAAGCGGTGAATGCTCCAACACTGGAAGTTTTTAAGAAGAGACTGGAAAGTCATTTGTCTGAAATGGTATAGGGTTTCCTGCCTGAGCAGGGGGTTGGACTAGATGACCTCCAAGGTCCCTTCCAACTTTATTATTACTATTATTATTATTATTACTATTATTATTATTATAATACATCAGAGTCTTCTCCAATAAATCCTCTCTTCAGATTAGGCGGTCAAAGTACTGGAGTGTCCGCTTTGGCGTCTGTCCTCTCAGCTTGCAGTCCAAGGGACTCCAACACCATCATTTGAAAGCATCCCTTCTTCTTGGCTCAGCCTTCCTTGTGATCCAATATGGCAAACTCAAAGGTACCAATAAAAAAAACGGGCAATTTATGCTCAATCCTCCGTAACTCCTCTCAGAGTTCCGTGCACTTGTTATGTCCTTGTTATGCCGGTGAATACAAGCATGTGAAAAGGTACAACCTGGTGTTCCGCCTAATGGGCAGAAGATAACTTAAGTGCTCGTTGGGCTAATGGCCGTGTAATATTGGAGCCCGTTTGGAGTGCTAACATATTGGAGCTATTGATTTTTTTTTTTTTTTGGCATGGAGGCCAAGAAGAAGAGGCACAGTCCACATTTAGGGTGAAGTAGAAGTCCCTCACCCCACTCCCGGTTGCTATTTTGGGGGGCCCTGAGATCACAAAGCAAAAGAATGGCTGAAAAGATGGACAGTGAGAAAAATCGAAGGAGAAAGAGAGCTCTCTGGACAGGAACTAGGTCCAAAAACCTCACTGCAGTGTTCACACAACATGTTTAATCAGGAAGTAACTTTTATCCGTAAGTTCTCCAGAGTTGCCAACCTTGACATTGAAATACTAAACAAACAAACAAACCTCTCATGATAGAGCAGGCTGTGAGAAAGCAGTAGTAGGTTCATAATCGAACACCCCATGGTTGGCAGGATGCATGAACGCAGCTACTTTCTAATTTTGCTCAAGTTAGGCTCGGATGTGACTTGAGAGCAACATCAATTCCTTCCAACTTGTCTATTTGCCTCCAGGCTTTCTAGATATGTAGATTTCGCCACAATTCTCTACAAGAGCCAAGCTGGTAGAGAAATTCTACAGTTGAAGCCCACACATTCAGAAGGCAGCGAGCTTGGAAAGGCTATATCCTAAGACCCAGTGGTCCCTCTCAATGGTAGATGTAGTCAATCTAGAACTGGAAGGTGCTTCTTTTACCTTAATTGAAGCTTGTCTCAAGTAAGGATAAAGTCTAGTCCCTCTATGGGTAGATGAGTTTTCTGATCCAGAAGCTGCTCGCTTCTTCCTGTTCCACTGTCCATTGGTTTACCAAGCTGAATCAGAGAAGTCATTTAAGCCACCCCAGAATCATAATTACTTTCTAGCACAATTACATGCTTAATCGCTTAAGAGAATAACACTAAATGACTGAGACCAAAAAAAAAAATACAGTTCGTTAAAAGTATTGCTGGATCTAAACCTGTGGCTGAAGTGAAGTGAGTACATTCAAAATTCTGGGCTAGAATCTGAGATTCCCTCTCCCATTTCAAGATTTCAAGATTGGTGTTGGCCACCAATTAGATTACAGTCTCCATCATCCCCAGCCAGTTGGGTCCATAGTTCCCAGTTCATCTTAGTTGAGAGATGCTGATCTGGGAAACTCTATGTTAGAGATGGCTATCTTACATTTTTGTAAACTGAGAATGATTTTCCACAAACCTCCAGCAGGGACTTTTTGACAGTTTACAGCAGTGGTTCTCAACCTTTTTAATGCCGCGACCCCAACCGGTCGTAAGTCAAGGACTAAACCGGTCATAAGTCGAGGACTAAACCGGTCGTAAGTCGAGGACTAAACCGGTCGTAAGTCGAGGACTAAACTGGTCGTAAGTCGAGAACTTTCCCTGCCCGGGAGCGCCGCGCATGCGTGGTTCTGCCCCCTGCGCCGGCCGAGGCGTAGCTGGCAAGCGGCAGAGATGGAGCAGGCCGACCACCAGCTGGCCCAGCCCAAGGGAGGTAAGGCACCCGCCGAAAAAGGGGAAAAAAATGGCAGACAAAAAAAATGGCGGACAGCCTTGCTTGGCGACCCCCACGAAATGGTCGATCGACCCCAAATGGGGTCCCGACCCACAGGTTGAGAACCACTGGTTTACAGAAAGTTTATGCGGTAATAAGTATAATTTGTCCTCACTGATTGCTGAATGATGCTTGGAGACGTGTAAATGCTTAGTGACCTCTGCTGTCTAAAATCAGAGCTACACATTGTAAGATACGGGTTTATGAGACTCTACCACTAGTCCAGCAAGCAGAAATATACAGGCAGTCCTCAACTTACGACTACAATTGAGCCCCAAATGTTCATTGCTAAGTGAGACATTTGTTAAGTGAGTTTTGCCCCATTTTACGACTTTTCTTGCCAGAGTTGTTAAGTGAATCATGGCAGTTTGTTAAATTAGTAATATGATTGCTTGTTGGAAGTTCGCAAAAGGGGATCACGTGACCCCAGGACTCTGCAACCGTCATAAATATGAGTCAGTTGCCAAGCGTCTGAATTTTGATCATGTGATCGTGGGGAATGCTGCAATGGTCGTGTGAAAAAGGGTCATAAGTCCCTTTTTTCAATGCTGTTGTAACTTTGGTCACTAAATGAAGTGTTGTAAGTTGAGGGCTACTTGTATTAGCTCAACTTGAGTACCCCCACCGCTTTGGCTGGGCTGCCCTTTCCTTTGCTATAAAATAGAACAGGGGTTCCCAACCAGGGGTGCGAGATGATATTCCAGGGGGTGGGAAAACTTGGGTTTTCAAAATTATAGTGTATATGCATAATTCGTTGCTGTTATTTTGAACTTTTATAAGGGGTGCAAGAATATATCAGAAGCATTCTAGGGGTGTGGGGTATAGAAAAGGTTGGGAACCCCTGACCTAGAATAAAAAGCTATCTCTCTGTCCTTCTTTCAACATTTTTTTTAAACGTGTTGTATGAAATTAACCAAGAAGCTGATTCTTGGTTGGGTTCCTACTGCACAATCCTGGCCAAGTCAACACAACAGAACAGAATTGATAACTTTATTGTCACTTTGAAATGTACACTAATCGGCATACGTTGAAATGAGATTTCGTTGCATACAGCCCTCAAAAGCTGTATTTACTATGATTGATTAAACCAGGCACCCCTGGCTGCCTTCCTTAACGCATTCGCAGTCTCCCACTTAGCAAATTTGAAGACGTGTGAAGTTCAACTCCGCCATTTCCCCCAGCCAGAAGGCACTGGGGGGGGGGGAAACAGAACAGAGCCGGAACTACAACTCCCGAAAGCCTCTGGGCCAGGAAGGCGGCCATCTTGCCTCTAGGCGTCGACCTCCGCTCCCAGCGTGCCTCGCTCGCCGGGCGTGGAAGCGGCCGAGCGCGGTGACGTCACCCTTCGCCGTCGTCTCCGTCTTTCCTGCTCCTTTCTCTCTCTCTCTGTCTCTGTCGCTCCGCCCTCTTCCTTCCTCCTCCCATCGTGCCTTGCGGCGGCAGGCGACGCCAGCAGGCCGTTAAGAGCCGCTCGCGCCGGGGGCAGGCTCGCGCCGGGCCTCCCTCCCTCTCTCTTTCCCCCCCCTCCCCGCCGTTTCCAAGGAGACGCGAGAGTCCCTCCGCCGCCGCCGCCGCCATGTCGGCCCAGGCCCAGATGCGAGCGCTGCTCGACCAGCTGATGGGCACGGCCCGGGACGGTGAGTTGTGGCGGGCGAGGCGGGGGCCTGCAGGAAGGAAGGAAGGAAGGAAGGAAGGAAGGCCGCGCGCCTCGGGCCCGGCGTGGACGGTTTCGAGGCGAGGCCTGGACGAGGCGACCCGCCGCCTCCCCTCTTTTCGTCGCCCTTCGCGTCGCGTCGCCCCCTCCCCTCCCCCCCTCACGACCCCCTTTGGCTCCCCTGCTTGGCAGGACGAGGTGCTTTTCCGCCCCTGACAGGGACAGGCAGCTGTCGCTTCTCTGAGCAACTCCCCCCCCCATATATATTATTATATTATTATTATTTTGGGGAGGGGGAGATATATATATCTATAGATAGATAGATAGATAGATAGATAGATAGATAGATAGATAGATAGATAGATAGATACGTAGATATAGATATAGATATATTTACATGTATATGTATATATATATATATATGCGTGTTATAAAGCTAAAAATTCGACTCTTGGGTAAATCCATGATAAAACCAATAAATATCGATCACCAAGAGGAAAGTAATAAAGTTATTGCTTTTATCATATATGTGTGTGTATGTATGTATGTGTATATATATACACATCTATCTATTATTAAGTATTCTAAAAATAAAAAGGTGATTCCTGGGTAAACTCATGTTAGCAAGTACAAAAAATGTAAGACCACCAGGAAGTTTTTAAAACATCTATCTATACATTATCTGTCTGTCTATCTATCTATCTATCTATCTATCTATCTATCTATCTATCTATCTTGAGTGGGTTTTTTGATGCACCCTGTTGGGCCAAATATGAGAGGAAGAAATCCGCTTTAATTCTTTGTTAGCAATCCAAAAATTTAGGATATATATATGTATATGTGTGTGTATATGTGTATATATATATACACACACATATACAGACAGACAGACAGATAGATAGATATCTCCTTCCCAAAAATAATAATACCACACAGGTAAGCAGCGCTGTTAATTCTGGGGTCCCCCCCCCCCCGAGGATTAATCCCTGAGGGCTTTCAGGGCTGGGGAAGGCTGTGTGGAGGGAGGATCAGCGGCTGAGCCCTTCCTTTTTTTTAAGAATTGGAAAAAGAGAAAAGAAAAAAAAAGACATTTATTTTTACGTTATTATTTGGGGCTTTGTTATTTCACAGGTTAGCTGGCTTGAGCCCTGCCGTTGGTTCTACCTGGGGGGAGAGGGGGGGAAAAACCCTGCTCAGCCTAAAATGCGAGCCTGGGGGTTTGATCTGCATCCCCAGCTATCTAAATTGAAGAAATAAATTGGAGAAATAAAATTGTCTTTCTCCGCGGGGGGGGGGGGAGGAAAAGTCAGCTTATCAGGGTGATGGATGTGGTAAAAAATGTAACCATCAGTCAGTCCATCAGTCAAGGCTCCTGGTTGCGGAAGGGGAATGTAACTTGAAAAGAGGAAGGGTTCCTCTGCTGCTTGACTTGGCGTTAAATGTGCCAGCTAAGCAGAGCTTCCAAATCCAGAGGCAGTGTATACGGGTAGTCCTCGACTTACGACCACAATTGAGCCCAGAATTTCCATTGCCAAGCAAGACAGCTGTTCATAAAAGTTGCCCCATTTTACGACCTTTCTTTGCCACACTTGTTAAGTGAATCGCTGCCGTTATTAAATTAGTAACACGGGTTTGTTACGTGGATCTGTCTTCCCCAGTGTCTTTGCTTGTCAGAAGGTCGCAAAAGGGGATCACGTGATCCGGCAAACGGTGATAAATATGAGCCAGTTGCCAAAATATCTGAATTTTGATCACCTAACCCTGGGGATGCTGCTACAGTTGTAAGTGTGAAAAAGGGTTGTAAGTCCTCAGTGCCGTTATGACTTCAACCGGTCTCACTCAAGGAAGGGTTGTAAGTTGAGGACTACCTGTATGGTGAAATGTTGGCGGGGGAGGAAAGATCAGGGAGAGCTGCTGTCTCACTGTCCCTTCTGATGCCCTTTCCAGCAGGCATGGTGGCAACAGAATATCCAGAAATGGACTTTAGCCTTTGGCAAAGTTCTTGTTTAGTTATTCAGGCCATCTTTAGCAAAAGGAAACTAATTAGCATAGCAAAACAAAGCCAGCCGAAAGGCAAACCAGTCAGGCCAGTTTGGCAGTGCAGCAGCCTGGCCAGCGTAAAAGTCGGTCCTGGTAACATGGGTGACACAATGGTCTTCAGAGTAGCTTCTGGTGACAGGTGCTCAAGCAGGATAGACAAGTCCCTGACACCTGCGTCATCGCATCTTCTTGCTACCCGAGTCCAGCTACCTGCTCAAGCAGGTGGTAGGGTTCTTGATGTAACATCTGATGCCTGGAAACATCTGTTCAGTAATATAAAACACGGGTACAGATGGTATGAGGGGGACAATCGAGCTTTGGAAGTAACATAAGATTTGGTCTATGCTGTACATTTATAAGGCTTTCTGGAAAGCATTGGCAGGGAATACATATTACACTAATTTTTTATAACTTGGACAATTGGAGCTGCCCTCTAAAACAAGGCTTTACACCCCAGATACGTCGGCTAGAACTCTGCCTCGTGAGTTGAAAGCCCGACTTTTCTGGTTTTACATGGTGAGGCTTTTCTTTTGTAGACTCGCCTGTAGACGTAATGCTTCGTGGGTAAAAACACGAAGGTAGGCCTGTTCTGCATGGAAACAGGACTTTAGTATGTGCCCCGGAAAATATATATATATATTTCCCCTAAAAAGCTGTGCATTCCTGACAAGGTTTGTATCTGCTTCCCTACTGAAAGTCTGGCCCATTTGCAAAAACCCTACCGATAACTTTTTGCACTTGGTTTCGTAAATGAATAAAGTGCTTGTTCTTTCTTTGTGTATTTGAGTTGTTTTTTTTTAATTGCTTCCCATATTTTTATTTCATACAAACTGAACAATTGTGGCCCCTCTATTTTATTTATAAAGGTTCAGTGTATCTTTGCCTGCCTACATCAATCTGCAAGGGAGTTGCAGAAAAGCCTCATGTTCATCGAGCCGTGAGTCACAACCAATTTTTAAAGCTGTTATAACAAAAAACAAAAGTGTTTGCTGCTTTTTTTCACAAGTAACTTTAAAAGTATAGTTTAGAAAAGAAGGAAAGAGGAAAAAAAAAAAACCATTTTCAGTAGACACAACCGGATGCAAATCCTGATCTATAGTCATACACAGACTAGCTTTTTTAAGAACAATTGTCACATACCATTACCACTTTGCCTTTACCTTTTATGTATCATTCCCCTGACTTCCTTACTGCAGGTTTGGGCAAGAAAACTTTTCCTTTAAAACTTTTCAACAGCGGGCATAAAATTCTGCAGCTGAGGTCTTGAAGAATGCAGATGGGTATAGTATGTGTTGGAGCTCGCAGTGTGTATCAACTAACTTTTTTTTTTTGCTTGTTTTAAATGGCTCCCGAATGAGGGTGGGAAAGGGGAGGCAGAAGATAATCACTTTTTAGAGAACATTTTGGTGGCCTTTAGACATTCAATGTGTGTTAATACGTATGAATCAGCAGTACTTAATGAAAAGACACTTGATTCATAAATGGCTACCTAGTAAAATTTCTGAGTGTGATTCACGGCCTTCAGCTAAAATGGGTTTTGGTTTTCCGAACCTTTGCTTTCTTTGTAGAAAAGATCATTTGTGGGTCTGGACCCAGATTGTGTATTTTTATGTAACTATCTGACTACGGATGTAATTATGGTCAACACCATACTTAGTAAGTGGTGCACCTGATATGAAATGCTGTGCATAGTTTGATTCTCAGCTGTGAAAGAAAGAAAAAAAAATCTAACTTACGTTTTTATAATTTTCTGATCAGTTCTGGGGTTCGTGAATGATTTTTATCTGCGTAATGAGGCAAAATTAAACGTACCGTAATTTACCGTGCTTCATCAACATGTAACAATATTTCATATTTGTAACCAAAAATGAATTTCAGGAGATGAAACCAGACAAAGGGTGAAGTTTACAGATGAACGGGTCTGCAAGAGCCATCTTCTGGACTGTTGTCCTCACGATATCTTGGCAGGGACGGTAAGTCCCCTTCCTCACCCCACTCATCTTGGGGTCCCTCTTTTATTTCAGCGCTCATTCCTCAGCCTGCTCCCTTCAGTATATTTAATTGCCACTCCCCAGATTTACCAGTAGAGGCACAGGCACATCCTCAACGTACGGCCGCAACTGAGCCCAAATTTTCTGTTGCTTAAGCGAGACAATTGAGTCCCCCCCATTTTATGGCTTTTCTTGCCACAGTGAAGTGAATATGGTTTCCCCATTGGGATCACGTGACCCTGGGACAGACACTGCAGCCATGATAAAAATAGGATCCAGTTGCCAAGCTCATGAATTTTGATCACGTGACCATGGGGATGGTGCACTGATCATAAGAAAGAAAACTAGTCATAACTTTTTTCAGTGCCAGAAGCAGATATGCAGCCCTTTGTAATATGATGTCACTTGTTTGGGCCACATGAAGCTTTGGGGTCATTTTCAAAAGTGATTCTCTATATTATCGAGTGCTCTAATTAGATGATCTGAAATGAGAAGTATACATCCTAAAGGAACTCTAACATTGTGCTGTACGATCCTGCATTTTATAAGTATTGAGGCTTCCCGGTATGTTTATGGCTGTTTTGCACTGGAATATCTAATCTGTATGATGATCTTTGGAATAGGAAACAAGTTGAGCAGCTGACATATCATTATAATTGATTCATTTGCTAATCACTAATTTTATGTTTTGCTTATGGTAATATGCTGGATTTTCAGATGATATTGTCTCCTATCCTTTTTTTTCCCTTCAATAGCGTATGGACCTTGGAGAGTGTACCAAGATTCATGATTTGGCGCTGAGAGCAGATTACGAGATTGCAAGTAAAGAGAGAGACCTGTTCTTTGAGCTGGATGTAAGTGCTCCATATTTTGACAATAATAAACGGATTCAAGCAGCTGTTTGATATCTCTGTTGTGTACCATTATTGCAGTAGGCATAAGTGCTGTGTCACCTGGGCAAAACATTGAGCAGGTTCGTGGCTGTGCACCTCTGTGGCTGTTACTTAATGTTACACACTTTATTGTAACGAGATGAATAAAAAAGGTAGTCATTTACAACTAAATTATGCTAGGAAGCTTCAAGGGCTTTTCTGCAGACTGAAGACAGTGCAAATTATTCTGTGCTTGTCACAGGCTGCAGTTTTTTCAGTCGGGCAGAGCTCTTAACGGGTTAACTTCTAGCACAGTGGTTCTCAACCTTTTTAATGCCGCGACCCCAACCGATCGTAAGTCGAGGACTAAACCGGTCGTAAGTCGAGGACTACCCGACCGGTCGTAAGTCGAGGACTTTCCCTGCCCGGGAGCGCCGCACATGCGTGGTTCCGCCCCCTGCGCCGGCCGAGGCGTATCTAGCAAGCGGCAGAGACGGAGCAGGCCGACCACCAGCTAGCCCAGCCCAAGGGAGGTAAGGCACCCGCCGGAAAAGGGAAAAAAAATGGCGGACAAAAAAAATGGCGGACAAAAAAATGGTGGACAGCCTTGCTTGGCGGCCCCCATGAAATGGTCGATCGACCCCAAATGGGGTCCCGACCCACAGGTTGAGAACCACTGTTCTAGCATATGTTATGGTCAGTGTCGATAATCCAAAATGCTTTGGTTCTGTACAGATCGGTTGCAGATCAACCCCTGCTCCATAGAAGAGTGGGGACTATAGGAAGTCATCAATTTACGACCACAATTGACCCCCAAATTTCTGTTGCTAAGGGAAACATTTGTTCAATAGGTTTTGTCCCATTTTATGACTTTTCTTGCCACAGTTGTTGAGTTGCTGCAGTTGTTATTAACACGGCTGTTAATGAATCGGGCTTCCCCATTGACTTTGCTTGTCAGGAGGTCACAAAAGATGATCGTATGACACACACATACACCCCCCCCAAGAACACAGCAACGGTCATAAATATGAACCAGTTGCCAAGCGTCCGAAAGTTGATCACGTGACCATGGGGATGCTGCTGCGGTCGTAATTGTGAAAAACGGTCATAAGTAACTTTTTCCAGTGCTGTTACAACTTTGAACAGTCATTAAATGAACGGTTGCAGGTCGAGGACTACCTGTATTGATCCGGTAGTTCATCCTGCTCCTAAGTTTAGCCTCTTCAAATTCCAAATAGTATGATTTAAAAGTTGGTTATCCGTGTCAACTTTGGAGAGAATCTGAATCCTTTAAAAGCTAAACTTTCACCTAAGCGTGTTCCCCTTTCCGTTCTATTCTTGCTAACCCTAAACCGATATTATAAAATTGTAATAATGGGGCTGCAACATTGTTAGGTCGTTATTTTAGGTGTGAGGGAAAGTTTCATAAGCCATATCTCCAGTTCTTCAGAAGAAAATCTCTCGTTTCCGTCTCTTTAATTACCTTTTTTTGAAGTGGCTTGTTGACAACAAGAAGTAAAGAGAAATTCATCTCATGAGATGATTTTTATAAGAATAATACAAGCCGATTAAAAAAAAAGTTATACATAGATGTTATCATTATCTGTACAAATATGAAAAAATGTCTATATTTAATCATTTATACATTGAAAATATTAAGAATTATATTTGTTTAAGGTGGAAGAAGGAGAATACAATTGGGAGAAGGGAAGATCAAATAAGTATAATATTAATTAATATACCAATTATGGAATTATCAATATCAATCCTTCTTGTGCCATATTTGTTATCAGACGTTGGCGATCCTGTTTTTATCAGCCGCACGAAAAAGTGCTGCTGAGTTTTGTCCAAACCAGTCCCTTAGATTTTGAAGCCATGATGTTCTTTTTTTGCCTGGAGAATCGTTATTGACTGTTAATTAACTATTGTGGGGTTTTTTTTCCAAATATATAAACCAAGACGTTGTACACCAGGCACTGGAACTTGTTATTGTAAAACAACCCAAAAAATATTTTTTTTAAAAAAAGTAAAGAGAAATAAGGTCTGCATTGAAGAGAAGCATTTTCAAATTGGGCCTTTCATGCCGCCTTCATCCCTTGATTTTTATCACTGAAATAAGGATGTGTAAGGACTGGCTTTCTAACATTAGCACTGTCTTGTTTCTATACAAACAGGCGATGGATCACTTGGAATCTTTCATTGCTGAGTGTGATAGAAGAACAGAACTGGCTAAAAAACGACTTGCAGAAACCCAGGAGGAGATCAGCGCTGAAGTGGCTGCAAAGGTATTTCTGTTGTGCAGTTGTGCTCTTGGTAAAATGCCGAGACTCTTGAAATTCATAAATTAACTGGCTGTTGTGCAAGGCTTCTGGTGGTTATCTATACCAAGGGTCCCCAACTCCCGGTCTGTGGACCAGTATTGGGCTGCAGCATGCCAGCAACTGGTCCACCCAAACAAGCAAAGCCCCATCTGTGGGATGCGAGCAGCACACAAAACCACACATTCTCCGATCTGCGGGGAAAACCTTTCTCCGTGGAACCGGTCCCTGGTGCCCCAAAGGTTGTGGACCTCTGATCTATACAATTGATTGGGCAAAACTCATCTAGGTGGTCTTAGGGATCCTGTAGGTTCATACGTTGTTTTAGTGTCAATCTAGGCTTAACATCTGTGTGAAGACATCTGAGATAACTTAAGAGCTGGAAATACCATAGATGTTGTAAGCATGAAGTCCCTCTTCAAGCCACTTTGAAATTCCTTTAGAAAGATAGAATTTAGATTTAAAGGTCAAATAAACAGCATAGCTGCTCTTTAGTATTTACATTAGGGATAACATTAGTTTATCCATGAGGTTGTGTGGAGAATTGCTTATCTGTTCTATTCATGCTTCCCATGCTAAATAAATAAACCAAGCACGTGTGCTTTTACATTATATAACAATGGCTTTACTTACCAGTTAACTTTTGTCTCATGGCTTTCTGCCAGTGCTAAAATTCATTACAAAACCAGAGATGCAGTGGTTGAAGCAGGAGATTAAAAATGAACGTGGTTTCTCTTAAACCTGTTTCATGCCAGAACTTCTAAACATAAAATGCCTTCCACCTGGGATGTATGATGCTACCCTGAGTCCTTTCAAAGTTGCAGTCGGTTCAAACAGTCGGTTTAATGTGACAGAAAATTATTAGGGTGCGATCCCATGAATCACATTTAAGATAGATGAGTTGGACTTTTGTTTAACTTACACTAAAATTGGTTTGATTTGATTTTAAGTCCTTGACCTAGCTATTATTTTGATGCAGATCCCCTGACATGGCATTCCAGGTTTAGGAATGGCACTGAGCCCTAAAGAGGGGATATATCCCACCTTGGATGATAAAAAAAAAAAAAATCCACTTGCTTGGAAGTATGACCAACATCCATTTGTGGGTTTGATTGTTGTCGCTGGGGGATTATTGGGGTGGGGGGAAATATTGCTTTAATTGTTTTTCTATTGGGTTCTTATCTTTGTAAGCTGCTTGGAGTCACTGAGAGTGAGTCGTATAAATTTTCTTCAGTCAAACAAATGACCCCAAACCCATGTCCATTCTTTAGGCAGAGAAAGTGCACGAACTCAACGAAGACATTGGGAAGCTTCTGGCTAAAGCTGAGCAGCTAGGAGCTGAAGGGAATGTGGATGAATCCCAGAAGATCCTGATGGAAGTGGACAAAGTCCGTGCAAAGAAGAAAGAGGCGGAGGTTTGTTCTTTCTGAACTGAATATGTGGATTTACTGCTTGGATTTACTGCTTTTTAAGCCTAGGATGTAACTAACCAAGCGAGACGGGATTACCTCTATCGAAAAACGGAGAAGGAAATTGCAACGTTGATCTTCCTTTTTTGACTAATGCAGCTTTACTATATTAGATGGGTGTCTCTAGTGTTATTTGTGACGTGTTGCACTTAGGCAAGGTAATAATGAGTCATTGGCTAAGGTGGGGGGAAGGAAGTCAGAAAGGTGAGTGATGGGAGTTTTCATTTTAACCTATTTCTGATCTTCTGATCTAGGAGGAATACCGTAATTCTATGCCTGCATCCAGTTTCCAGCAGCAGAAGCTGCGTGTTTGCGAGGTTTGTTCTGCATACCTCGGTCTCCATGACAACGATCGTCGTCTGGCTGATCATTTTGGGGGCAAATTGCATTTGGGCTTCATTCAGATCCGCGAGAAATTGGACCAGTTGCGGGTAAGGGCTGTAGTTACTCAGGGGTAAAGTACTCTTGTATGAAAAGAGCCTTAAAATCATCCTGGACAGTTTTGATTTTAACAATTGGGTAGACACAATATTGGTCTAAGTCAGGGGTAGGCAACTTTGGCTGTTTTATGACTCATGGACTTCAACTCCCAGAATTCCTGAGCCAGCATGGCTCAGCTTGGAAACCTCTCCCTTTCCCCTCAGCATGGCTGGCTCAGGAATTCTGGGAGTTGAAGTCCACGAGTCATAAAAGAGCCAAGGTTGCCTACCCCTGGTCTAGGTAAATCAGTGTTTGAACTGTCTCTTGTTCTTTAAAACTTAGAATGGGTGAATAGCCTATGTCAGACAATCCTACAGAGTAAGGATAGTTTCACGTTCACACAATTAAGTTCATGTGTGTGTGTAACTTGATTTTTCTCTCCTTTTCTCTGCTAAGTAAAATTCTTAATACTGTAATGTATGTGTGAAATGACCTCATTGAGGTGAGATGTTTTATGTAGCTGCATGGTTGTCATTAAGTAAACAGGCTTGTGTGAGTCAGATTTGTTTATTAGGATTAACAAATTTGACGCTCCTATTTAATTGTTGCCTTTGTCCATGGGATAAATCCGTAGGTTGAAATCAGAAACTTGTCGTTATCAACAGGGAAGTCTATTAATCTTCTAAATAAACACTTCCTATACTTCTCATTTTAAGGGGTAACTTAAGATGCTGTATATAAAACCAACACTTTGTGTGGCTGATGTTTCTGTCCTGCCTTGCCTCCAGTTTTGGACTCTGCAGTCTGTGAGAGGCATCATGTTCTTTCCTGGTAAAGAAATTAAAGACTAAACAGGGTTACATTAATGTTGGTATCAGAATGCTAGTCTCTAGATTCTGATCTTCTAGCATTCTGAGTTCTTTTGGGTCCTCAAAAATGAGTTTCTCATAGGATCATTTTCTTCATGCTTGAGTATTTGATATTTTGGCAAATTATTTTGGCAAATTATCCTCTTTTTCTTCAGCTTTTGCCTTGATATTAATATGTTGCCTGTTTCACGTTAAATCTCTGCAACTTCCTCATAATTTGCTTATTGGTTCGGTAAAGGTTTTAATCTGGAAGCTCTTGGTGGGAACATTGGTCATGCTTATTGAGATTTGTGGACCCAATACATCAGAAATACATCAGGACATACTGATATGTAGTCAGATAACAGTCTTAAGTGGTTTTTACATATTAACTACATGGTGTTGCTTTTAAGTAGCTGTATTTTTTTCTAATCTTTTAATTGCTGCTTTTAAGCTTAACGTGTCACTTAAATAGGGACCTCCTAATAGGAGAAGATGATGTCACCAACTGTCTTTGAATGACTCTTCCTTGCTATTTGCTGGAATCCTTTTGATGTAGAACCCAATTATATTTGACAACATTTCTTGTCTCGCTCTAGAAAACCGTAGCTGAAAAACAGGAGAAGAGAAATCAAGACCGGTTGAGAAGGAGAGAAGAAAGAGAGCGAGAAGAACGTGTGGGACAACGGTGAGGGATTGCAGAGGAGAAGCGTGCGGCTTCCTGACTCAGTGGCATAAGAGGTCTTCTGGTGTGCTAAGATCTCAAAGAAGCGGCACAGTAGAAACTGGGCTGTGTTTGGTCCCCAGGCAGGGCAAACCTATGTTGGTGCCTTTTTGGCCCTCTGAAATCAGTAGAATTTGGAAGCAGAAAGAAGAACGTAAGAGTTCAAACAGTAGAATAGCAGGGCTGCTTGATAGAAGATGAAAAGTAGTGAGTAGACATCTGTTTCTTTACTGTTTAGAATTTGGAATCCTTTGCCAAATTCACTCTTGACCCTTTCAGCGTATTACCTTCTGGGGTCTTAAAAGTGTACAGCACTTTTTAGAGCAAAGAATCCTGCTTCATCAGAACACGTTCCTAACTATGCTTGTGTCATGCCTCCGTCCGAGCCTGACTCTGAGGACGACATGGAGTTCCCTGTTGAGGCCCAGGAGGGGGTGTCTGTGGCTTCGGAGGACTGTGGGGAGAAACAGGCTAAAGCAGGCCAGGGCCCTTCAAGTTTGGAACAGGGCAGGCAGAGCTCAGGCCAGGAGCAAGGCCCCTCCCCATCAGATCCCAGAGCAAGGAGAGCAGAAAGGAGGAGGGAACAACGGAGGCAGGCTCACATTCTCGGGAGGAGAGCGTCACACCCCACTCCACAAGGCACACCTGGGGAGTAGGTATTTAAGGAGACGCTGTGGGGTGGGGCATTTGCTGGGAACAAACGTGAACTCTTGTGCTGTGAGCTTTTGTACCTGGACTCTTTGTATTTTGGATCAAGTTTGTTTCCTGCTGAGTTTTCCTTGCTGTCTTCAGTTTTGCAGTTTGCAGGTTACAGGCAAGCTGGGCGTGGAAAAGATCATACTTTGTTTGTTATCTGTTTTACTTTAAAGAACTGTTTAACTCCGTTGACTTTTATTGAACTTGTGCCAGCATATGTGGGGGCTGTTGGGTGAAGGTTGGCAGTGCTTACAAAGACAATTGTTCTGACCAGCTAAGTGCTTTGCCTCCGTTCGGGGCCCTGGGTCATCACAGCTTGCATACTGTCTCCAGCTCCTCCTTTTAAATCAGTGCTGTTCCTTTTTTCTAGATCTGGATCAAGAAACCGAGATCGCAGAAGGTAAGAGAGATTGTATGTGTGTGAGTGAAGGGTACATATACATTGAGGTGATGGTCCTCAAATGAGCTCCTTGATAGCTTTTGGCAGCTCTCCATTTGCTGCTTTTCTCCAGACCCAAAAGCAGAAAAGTCCCCCAATCCTTCCTAGTCTGTTACTATTTCTCCCTGTTGTAGGACTCGTCTGTTAAATTGCCACTGAATTGAGCTACATTGGGTTGGCACCCTTGCTGTTCGCTTTTTATAAATTACGATGGCTTTTTGATATATAGAAGTAACGTTGAGTTGCTCAATAGCTTGGTGATCTCCTTCAGCAATCTTTAGAACAGAAATTGTCTACAATGTTTAGGACACACAAACATTATCTTGTGTTTATGTTGAACTGTATTGCTTTATGTGACCAGCAATGTAACTACATGGGTTTTAGAATAGCAATAGTTCTCAACTAATTTGAATTATTCTTTTTTTTTTCCTGGTCTAACCTGCCCACAGGCAATTGAAAAGGCACATGAGGCCTTTAGTACAGTCCACCCACAGAGGCTAGGTAGCCTCACTTGAAAGGGGTTTTCAATTCCAAAACGCAGCGCACTCCGTTATTTAGAATGCTGCACAGATCCACTGCAAATGCTGTCATGTTGGCATAAAAAATCCCCTTTTAGCAGAGAGGAAGAGCAAAAATCATTTTTAGCTGGCACTTTGGAGAAAACTCCACAGAGATTCTCTAAAATACAATTGTTGAATCTTTCTTAAATTTAAATTTATAGGTTTTTTTTATGTGGAGACAGTATATAACAAAGAATGCAGTTCTTGTGTGATGCAGTGGAAGCTACAAAAGCATTGGCTTCAAATTCTGCAGACTTGTAAAATATCTGGAGGGATATCAATAAGCAATTGGAATATCATTTTGCAAAGTTTTAGTTGTAACCTCTTTGGATGTAATGTCTCATATGTACATTCCAATGATTTTCTTGTAGAAGTCTTTGTATAATTGTGGTTCACATGCATAGAGTCATCCAAAAATACTATAAGGCAGAGCTAAAAGGGCACGGAGTTAAAAACTAAGCCCCTCAGTTCTGTCATTAATTTATGTAGACTCTAATCTGAAAATCATTTGAATCATTGCTTAATAAAGGCCAACTGTTAAAGAGGCTATTAATTATTTAATTTGTATATTGCTGAATGCTGTAAGAGAATAAAGGGGAAAGAATAGAATCTGGTTTTCCGTGAACTTAAGGTATTGATCCTTAAGGATGGCCTTTTCATCCATAACAAAGCACTCTTAATACAGTGGAATAATAATAATAATAATAATAATAATAATAATAATAATAATAATAATAATAATAATAATAATAATAATAATAATAATAATAAAGTTGGAAGGGACCTTGGAAGTCATCGAGTCCAACCCCCTGCTCAGGCAGGAACCCTACACCATTTCAGACAAATGGCTGTCCAGTCTCTTCTTAAAAACTCATCATTTATTGGTACCGGGAGGTGCGATGGGTACCAAAAACAATGAGTACCAAACAGTTTTTTCTCACAAGGAATAATTTAGTGAGTCACAAGGCAGCCGACACCGTCAAGTTCTAGCTTTTGTGTTGAGTACCAAACAAACAGTGAGTACCAGGATAAATTTGTCATGTCAAAATACATTGAGTACCAAATTCAATGAGTTTCAAAGCAGTTGAGTACCAAAGGACCACTGTACTTGGTATCTTGGTACTCAAGGTACAACATTGGCTTAGTTTGTGTGATAAAATACAGGCAAGCACTTGTTATCTCCTCCTAGAGGAAAAGTCGGGCATAAATTGTGTGTGTGTGTATTTGAAAAGAAAGTGAGGTAACGCAGTTACTCTTAATGGAAGACTCTTTGATATGGCTGGGCTGAATTGTTTTCCACCTTCCCACTGCAGATCGCGATCCCGAGAGCGGAGGCGCCGACGTTCCCGCTCCCTTTCCCGCGAGAAGCGAAAATCCCGTTCCAAGTCTCGGGAACGAGAGAGGCACCGACGCCACCGCAGCCGTTCCGGAAGTCATAGTCGGGGTCACCGACGTGGATCCAGAGACAGGAGTTCCAAGCATAAGTATGGCCAGCCTATTCTCACTGCCGCTTGGAGGGAAAGGCTTGTTTTGCGTGGAGTTTAGCCAGAGGAAACATGTTAAAAGCTGAAAGGAAACCAGGATACATTTAGAAATAACGATGCCAGTTTCCAAGTCGCCCCCCCCCCCCCGCAGGGAACATGTTGGATTAAAAAATGTGGTTGTCAAGATGCAAAGAAGCAAGGAAGGCCGAGCTCTTGTTTTCTCCTTTGTGAATAGACTAGAATAGGCAGAGATTTCATCCATGTGAAAAAGACCACAAGCTCCAGCAGCCATTTTGAACTCTTTTGCCAGGCCTGCAAATCCCGTTTTCCCCAGTGTAAGAGACGACTTCCCTGCTTCTTCGAACATTTTTCGTTTCTGCCAAAGGCATGCTGTTCACTTAGTGAGTAAATGACGTGTTGCTATCAGGAAGGTGTTTGTTAGCCTTTCTAAAAATGTTCAGATAGGGCTGTACATGGATGCAAAAAACTGGCCCAAACTGGTGGTCTTTTACACAGAAATTAACTAATGGTCTGATACCACAGTTTAATTCTATTCAGGAACAACAACAAAAAAAGATTCTCATATTGTTCTTAGAGATGATGTTGGAATGGATTTAGTTTTTAGTTTGCACCTAGTAATTCCGCTTAATACTTACCATTCTATCCCTTACAGAAGGAAAAAGTTTAAGAGAAGTAATTTATTCCCCGCTTACAAGTTGACCACACGCCTTTGAAAATCTCATTTATCTAATGATAAAGTGGATTTATAACCTCACCCGTTGGAAGAGTGAGTGAAAAATAGAGAGTATTTTATCTCTTTTCTCTGCACAGAAAGGATTGAAAACGAGAGATATTATAAAATGTGTGGAAACTATTAACTCGTGGTTGAGATACTAAATTCATTTTTTAAATCTGTCTTAAACATGAACATTAAAGAAAAGAAGTTTGGACAATTAGGAAATGAGGAAGACCCTGTAATTACTATTACTCTAAAGAGCAGGTAAGGGAAGACTTCAGAAAACGCGAATGTGCTATAGCTCATAAAGTGCCCCCCCCCCTCCCAGGGGGAAGAATTGCATGGAGAATATTTTCTGGAAAAAATGGGAAATGCCAGAAACCGGGAGAGGACATAAAAGATTGCAAAACGTCCTATTTCTTTTAAACAATCCTCTGCTGCAATTTCTTAAAAATTCAGCGTCTTCGAAAGAGACAGTATCTGGCAGGTGCAAAAGTAGATAACGAAAGGTGATCCTGGATAAAGGAATCACGACATTTATGGATGTGGGACGGTTCCTCTCTTTTTGTTTTCGTTTGCAATAGAGATGTAAGTCCGAAAGCTTTAGTCCAGTGTTTCTCAACCTTGACAATTTTAAGGCATGTGGACTTCAACTCCCAGAATTCCACAGCCAGCATTGCTGGCTGTGGAATTCTGGGAGTTGAAGTCCACATGCCTTAAAATTGTCAAGGTTGAGAAACACTGCTTTAGTCAAAGACTGGGGTTGTTGGCGGGAAGAGGGCCCTTGTTTTAATTTCACGGAGCAAGGTTACACCTGAGTCTAAAAGGACTCCTTCTCAGGTAAAGCTTTTGGGACACAATTTTGGGAACAGAAAATGCCTTTGTTTTGAGTGTAGGTCCACAGCAGCTTCAGCGTACTGAGCCAGTGGAATACTGTAATTAAAAACAAGTGATAATTCTGTATCCCATAAAGTCATCTTCTTTAGATAACCCTTCATATGCTAGCTAGAGAGGATGAGATTTATCGTAATTCATCCTAATTCATTTGGAGGCCCATCCTGCTGGAGAAGAGACTGATTGATGAAATTGAATTCAGACTATGGTCCTGTAGTTGCAAAAGTACAATTTCGATCGCAAGTAGTCCTCAACGACCCTTTGTTTAGTGACTATTTGAAATGACAGCCGGGCTGGCAATAGTGACTCGCAACCGAGTCTTCGGACTTAACGACTGTCATAGCATCTCCACAGTCACAATTCGGGTGCTTGGCAAGCAGCCTTACGTTTACGACAGTTGCAGCGTTCTGGGGTCCTGTGTGGTCACCATTTTGAGATCTCCCCAGCTTGTTTCCAGCAAAGGGAAACCAGATTTGCTCAACAACCCCCTGATTCACTTAACAACGCCAGTGGTTTGTTTAAAAACCTTGGTGGAAAAGGTTGTAAAATGGGGCGTGACTCGCTGCCTTGCCTGGCAGTGGAAATTCTGTTCGCAGTTGTCGTAAATCGAGGACTGCTTTCATACCTTGTGTCCTCCCCCACCTTTTAGCAGTTGAAAGATGGCATATTCCATCTCCACGTGATAAACCAGGCTTGAGAGAAAATGGAGAGATTGCTCACTTGGGTGAGGACCCCAGATTAGTGGAATTATCCAGGCTTATCGCCTGCTTCCCATTTTATAGACTTGAAACGAGCAGTCAGGCTGGTGTACAAGTTGGCTAGTGCTAACTTGAGTTAGCAAGTCACAGATGCTGAAGAAGGACTCTTAACCCCCTTCGGAATTCCTGACTCTATTTTTTCTTCCTGTTTTTTTCCTCCTCCTCCTCTGTTTGAGCACTAACATCATGGTTTGTGCTTTTCTCTGGGTGGCAGTATGGATTGGACTCAGAAGGAGAGGGCAAGTGAATTTATTATCGTAAGGGGAGAGAGGTTGGGCCATTCATAAAACTGTCTTGCCTAACGATTCCTTGACCAAGCCATCCTTGGAGAGCTGCTTTGGTAAGCTGGGGTTTAGGGTCAGAGGGGAAACTTCTAATACTATAGTATAGCACTGGTTCCCGTGGAGAGCCGTTGAAGGAGAACAGTGTCTGCTGCCTGTCTATGGGGATTCTCAGTCATCCAGATCATAGTTGTCTCAAAGATGCCTTTAAAGCAGTGTTTCTCAACCTTGACCATTTTAAGGCATGTGGACTTCAACTCCCAGAATTCCACAGCCAGCATTGCTGGCTGTGGAATTCTGAGGGTTGAAGTCCACATGCCTTAAAATGGTCAAGGTTGAGAAACACTGCTTTAAAGGCACCTGGACTGTTTTTTTGAGGAAGAAGAAGCTGCATCAGTTGAACTGATGAAGCCTCTTGGATGAGAAGCGAAACTTCTTCTTTTTCCTCAAAAAACAGTCCAGTTGCATTTTGAAGCCAAAAAAACAAAAAAAGGCATCTTTGAGACTGTCCGGTACAGATTGGAAATGGAATTTAAAATGTGTAGCAGAGAACAAATAATAGTACGGTTAGGTTGAAGAAATTGAAAGATGGGCGATAATGTATAGACCAGGGGTAGTCAACCTTGGCTCTTTTATGACTCGTGGACTTCAACTCCCAGAATTCCTGAGCCAGCCAGGAATTCTGGGAATTGAAGTCCACGAGTCATAAAAGAGCCAAGGTTGACTACCCCTGGTATAGACTATCATAAAATTCCTTTGTGTTTGGTGTGACGCAGAGTAGGAAAAAACCCTGATGCTGATGTCACCATCGAATCTTAGGATGTGAATGAATTAAAACAAGACTGAATTATGTTTAGTTCTTCTGCAAGGCTGGCTGTGGTCCCAGCAGTCACAGGAGCAAATTTATTAATTACCAAATCTCACTTTGGAAAGGATTATGATGCTCCGTTCTGTTCAGGTGCTAAGGCTTTTTTTCATGCTTCTCCTTATCGCCAGTTTTTTATTTCCTGAACATGAATGGCTCCTTGATAGAAGCCATGAAGATTTAGGTCTACTTTTCAGTGACCATTTTAAGGAATTTGCTTTTGACTCCCGAGATAAAAGAATTTGCTTTTGACTCCCATCCATTGCTACAAAGTTGGAGGAGTGGGATTAATTTATATTAGAGTGATTCAAGGCCAGTGCCCTCTGAATGGCATTCTTGTCTAGGAGAATTTCATAGTTTTAAGAATTGGTGTCCTTTTAAATCTGGATTTTGAAGTATTCTGTTAACGAATTTAAAAAAAAACAGCTCTATGTGGGGAACCTGAATTCTATTTGGAGAGTCCTTCTATGATTCACTTATTCTTTTGGCCATTTCTTTGAGGATGATGTACTACATTTCAAAAAAAAAATTCCTTTGAATTCTTATCCTTTGAGACCAGTTGAGATAGCTTGTGCTGAATGAGGATTCATCACCCCTTCCTGCCTATCCAGACAAGCGATTTTTTCTTTCCCACCAACTAGCCAGCTCCAGGAAGGAAAACTGACACCTCCTGGCCACCTTTCTTGTATATATGTATACATGTAGCTTGAACTGGGGCGCCTTTGTAGTGGCTCCTTTATTATAACGTTGCTCACTTTGTACTTCAGATCCTCTAGGGATCGGTCTTCAAGAGAGAAATCTCGGGACCGGGAGAAGAAAGAGAAGAGTTCGTCTGAACGGCGGCACGAGAGCACCAATGGCAAATCTCGCTCCAAGAGGTCGGAGGAGAGGGAAGCCGGCGAGATCTGAGCTCCCGCCGCGAGACCCTTCTTGTACTGTAAATAAGTCTTGAGAAGCATTCTACACGGCCCAAATCTCTCATTTATATTAACGGAAGACAGCACATCCTTTTGTAGTTCTGGATTTCTTATCGTTTCTGCAGCTAGCAATGACAGTTCCCTGCCATTGACCGAAACTTTGTTTTTATCAAGCCTAAAGAGATCCAGCAGCCAAGGATCCACCCAGATTAATAATATCTTAGAAGCAGAACACAGCTGCTGGAAGGCTATCCTACCGGAAGGGATTGCGATCCGCTTTAAAAAACAAAACACACAAAAAAAGTATCCTCACCTGCTCACTTTAAAGCATCACTTGCATTTCTATAGCCAAGTTAAGTTTGTACCCTAACTGAAAGACCCTCAAGAGATGGGGGTGCCTTTGGCCTCTCTTGTAAACCCCTTCATTTAGGGCAGGGGTAGTCGACCTTGGCTCTTTTATGACTCGTGGACTTCAATTCCCAGAATTCCTGAGCCAGCTAAGCTGGGAGTTGAAGTCCACAAGAGTCATAAAAGAGCCAAGGTTGACTACCCCTGATTTAGAGGTTTCCTATTCCGTATTTTCAAACATTCAACTCTGTGTAAACAAGTCAGCAGTTTAACTGACATGCACCCTTGTTGAAATTTGGGGACAAGTTGCTTCAACTGGATAGGGTTTTTTTTTTTGTTTTGTTTTTAGGGTAATTGTATCTGTAGTCTGGTGAAGTTAACACGGCATTCTAATTTAAATGATAATTGGGTTGTTTTGCTCAGCGCTCTGCTCTTCAGTGTAGTTTTTCACAGCTTGCCTATTCTTCAGCCTGTTCATTTATTACCAAATCTCACTTTGGAAAGGATTTTGGGTTCCTGAATTGGGTACACGTGTCCTAGTTTGTCACTTAACAAGGAACCTCGTCAAAGACCCTGTTGAGAGGTGTCCTCCCGAGGCAGATGATCCTCAAAAATCTATTTGGTCATCAACGCATATAGTGCTTGCACTTTCCGTGATAAACTAAGCATTGGTTGGTAAGAAATCGGTGAGATAACGGACCATAATCTGCTATTGCTACGATCTGCTTAAAAGTTACAACAGCTTGAATTTTAACAAATGACCACTGAAAGCTGATCAAAGTTAACAGCAGGCACCCCAAGTCTGATAAACTGGGGGAAACGTTTGTTCCGCTTCTATATCTATATCTCCTCCCTTTCGCCCCTTTTTTGGCTTCACCCCCCAAATTGGAGAGATTAACAGAATTATCCTAATCCTAATGCCGAGTTTTGAGTTTCTTTCCTCTTTTGCTATCACTGCTACTTTTTCGGATAGAACAACATGGGCACGGATCTTCATGCATAGTATTGCATGGATAGAAGCAGAGACATTTGCTGTGAGAAGGTGGCCCCACCCGAGATTCAAAGTCACAGAGAGATCCCATTGGAACAGCTCATTCCCAGGAATTGTAAATCTAAAACAGCTCATTCCCAGGAATTTTAAATCTCACCACACACCTTGAAAGGTTGATAGGTCCAGGAAAAGAAACTGGCAAGGCAAGTCGCGTGAAATGTACAAAGCATTAGGAACCCATCCCTTCCGTGAGGATTTTTATGTTCAGTATTTGCAGCTGAGCAGCTTGATCTGTAACAGCACTTCCTCCCTTCCCCACCCCTCATGTTCTCCCCTTCCTCCCATGTCTTTTGAGGAGTTTTTGGTCTAAGTAACAAGATGTAAGTCAAGTGCTGTTGTCCTGCCAGTCTGATTCACATTAAAAGCTTATCTTTGTGACTTGGCGTGCTCAATGATCTATTTGAGGGTCATATCAATCTTTAAAATGTCTTGAAAAACAAGGTCCTAACTACATTAGCACAGAGTAAGAGAAATCTACGGAAGCTTGCTCTGGGGCAATACGATGAGTATCTCTAGCCCATAAGATGCTCTCTTTGTATTTACACATTCCTGAATTGTAAACCCTTGGTAGAATGCTGAGGATTTCTGTTGTATGATAACAAGGGCCAGCCATAAAAATGGGCTGTCGGTCTGCAGTACCGTATAGAACAGCTTCAGCTAACATCTGTATCAGGGGTGTCCAACCTTGGCGACTTTAAGACCCGTGGACTTCAAGCCCCAGAATTCCCCAGCCAGCAGAGCTGGCTGGGGAATTCTGGGAGTTGAAGTCCATGGGTTTTAAAGTCACCAAGGTTGGACACCCCTGAGTTTTAAGAGTTGGAAGGAGGACGCTACGACTTCAGCTGAAAAACGTAAAAATTCCAGTTTTCTGGTTCCCGCCTAAAAACACACGTAACACAAGCTTTATATGCTTTTTGTTTGTTTGGAGGATGAATTATTCATTCCACTTCAATTAGATTGGGAAGCATCCTGGCATGTTAGTTTCCATTAAATTCTGTTTGAAGAGGAATCCTTTTGTTTGTGTCGTTGCTCATCACGGGCATCGCCCAGGTCTGCTACTCCGTGCTAGCAGCTCTTGATATTTTGCCCCAGAGGTCTTCTCATTGGGCCATACTAGGGATTTACTATAAGGCTCCTGAAAATAACCAGTGCTCCGAATTGATGTGGGCATGTTCAGAGCATACTGGTTCATCTTGATTTTGGTGACACATTGTTTTGTCCAGATGAGATTGGGGCCGATTTGGCTATCCAAATAAAACCATTTTAAAAAGGCGTTTCACGTGATAGAATCTGACTGATTTTTCAAATGAGCTCATTTTGTCTGGACTTCATTAGCTGCTATTACTACGTATTTGATTGATGGTTAAGGGCACCAGTCCTCCTAAAATTACCAAATAAGTCCGTACGGAAGTAAAACTGAATACTTGCTGGCTTTTATTTTGTGTTTTAAACCACTGAATATTTCACTGTTATTATGAAGTTTCACAAACAACATAGTGTAACATTGCCTTTAAACACTGAGATGGTGTAATAAAAATTGGTGTACATGTACTTACCATAAGAATCTCTAAAGTTCACAGGATTTATATCATCAACTTGTTTAGTGCAAGAATCTGTATTCAACATTCGTGGCAGGATTTCCTTCCTTCCTCCTTCCTTCCTTCCTTCCTTCCTTCCTTCCTTCCTTCCTTCCTTCCTTCCTTCCTTCCTTCCTTCCTTCCTTCCTTCCTTCCTTCCTTCCTTCCTTCCTTCCTTCCTTTCCAGAGAAGAGGATTCAACCCTTGGTTTGGAAGTAGCTCACTATTGGTTTGCACCCCACTCTTTACAGAGATGATACACAAATGTAGCTTTTTCTCTTGGAAAAACCCTTGTATTTTTGAGAACTTTATCCAGGATTGTGTTTGTTTGGCTTATATTTTCAGTTTCCCCCATAATCAGTTTGTTTGCTGGCAGCAATAGAGAGGAAGGGGGGGGGATGCATTTTGTTAAGAAAAAGTAAGAATGTATAGGTGGGATTCAAGTAGTTCATTAACATTTTTAAAGCCTGGAAAGATTGTGTGTGAACATCTTTTCTTTGTTAAAAATCATATAAATTCCAGCATTGAGGGTTTGCAGTTGTGGAAACAGCACAAACTCTAGAGCTCAAAGGAGTTTATAATCTTGTACATCCAACTTTTTACATTCAGCGACTGTGCATTTTATTCATACTCTGACCAACTGTGTTTAGCAGATATCGGATGGTCCATCATTAGTGGAAGACAGATATGATCTAGATCAGTGGTTCTCAACCTTTTTAATGCCGCGACCCCAACCGGTCGTAAGTCGAGGACTACTCAACCGGTCGTAAGTTGAGGACTTTCCCTGCCTGGGAGCGCCGCGCATGCGTGGTTCCACCCCCTGCGCCGGCCGAGGCGTAGCTGGCAAGCGGCAGAGACGGAGCAGGCCGACCACCAGCTGGCCCAGCCCAAGGGAGGTAAGGCACCCGCCAGAAAAGGGGGGGAAATGGCGGACAAAAAAAATGGCGGACAGCCTTGCTTGGCGACCCCCGTGAAATGGTCGATCGACCCCAAATGGGGTCCCGACCCACAGGTTGAGAACCACTGATCTAGATTGATTCTGTTTCTTAATTTGACTGACAGAGTAGTCAGATGTGGGCTTTCAATTGTTCAGCTGAATTTTGGATTCATGTATTGCCTGCTATGTAACTGATTCCCAAACAAGTCTGAAGAGTGATTAAAACCTTGTTGGGACTGCCATGGTTTTTCCGTTCATGCCACTCTTTGTTGGATCGTAATTCACACTTGTAGGACTGCTCTCCTGCTTGGAAGCTGCTCTCCTTCTTTCCTGACCCTGTGCTTAGGACAGGACAGGAGATGGGTCTCTTAGAGTTCTATTCTCGCTAAGAAGAGTTCATTCTATGAATAGAAGAAACTTCTCTTGACTCCCTCATACAGAATGAGTCATACTCCTTCTGAGTGTCAAACCAAGAGACACCAGGAACCTAAGTGGTGCTTGAGTCTACTATAAAAGGAAGTCTCTCATCAAATCTGAAATCTGATTCAGAATCCTTTCAGCTTGTACCTGAGAGACTTCATCTCCTGACTTCCTTGGAATTCTGGATTGACCAGGCTAATCTGCACAATTGCGTGTTCCGCCATAGTCTCCTGCTTTAAATCCAAAGGATGGGGTTGGGGAAATAGGCTAGACTAGAATTCCTCTCAGAAATATTGAACAGAATCAGTTCAAGCCATTTGGAAGTCCACCATAAGAGCCTCTTCAGCTCAGTGCCCCCCCCCAGCCCTTTAATGCCCAACTGGATTGGATTTCCAGCGTGCCTCTTGGCCTTCTTGACTAGGAATGACCAGAACAGCTCAACGCAGCTGGAGATCCACCGGTATGATTTGCAGCAACAAAAATTGGTCTCTGGCGTTCCAGCAGGTGGCATTCAAGCCTCTTATAATGTCTATCAAGTGCAAAGACTGGCATCTCAGTCTTAATATGCTTTATCATAACCCTATATGGCCTTCTGTCTTATTGCATAATATATTAGAAAAGGTATTAATGTAAGATTGTTTTGATCAGCCCACATACAGACACCGGTTTTGATCAGCCCAGATACAGACACCGGTAACGTTACCTTCACCCTAGTTGGCTTCTCAATAGTTCCTTGGATAGACCATGGTTGGCTGGAGTCAACCTGACAAGCCAAGACAAACCACATTGTAACTAATTGCGATGAGTATCAAACGTCCAGTCATATTTACAGCAAGCAGCTAAAATTTGTAGAACTTAGTTTATGTGTGGCTTTGTCCGTACACTCACCGGAAGTCAAGAAGGGACCAACCAGCAGAAAAAAAAATAGGGTGGTATATATGTGACCTTAATTGGCTA